ATAATTAAATTTAAATTAGAAAAATAGTTCAAAAATAATCTGATTGCCATGATTGACATCGAGCCGAAAACAGTGCGGCCTAATTCAGTGTACGAGTCGCAGAGGACATGTATCCTTAACACAAAAATTGCCTGAACTTCCTGTACGAGCACATCGACTATAAACAATTACATTACGACATTTTGTGGATTAAAACTATCGACAGCCAGAACTTAGAGTATCACGAGCCAAAGCCCAACTGCAAACCCAGTGCCAATGTAAATATATGCATGAGTAGGTTTACATCCACATTAGCAGTATCTAACGCACACATCAATAAGCCTATTTGTATTAAATAATAGAAACAAAACAATTTATTGGTAACACCTTAAACTAATAAACCCTTAAGGATATTTTGTGGAGCATACGTAATATGCATTACCAAGGCAAATAACAAAAATGTTGCACATGACGTGTAACTCCAGTAATAACCAGCGTGGACGTACGTCGTATAATCTTGTAAATTCGGAAAATAAATAAAATATTTTATTCAACGGATTTAATTTAAATAATTTCACGTTTAAACAGTTTTCATAATGGCTGATGCAGTACCATATTCGGATGAGGATAATTACGCAAATGAATCCTTTGAAAACGACAGCGACACCGACATACCAGAAATTTCCGATTCCGAGGATGAGAGTTTCTCAAAGAATAACAAAACCAAAGCGGTAAATAAGAATGCAAATATTTTCTTAAATAAAATTAATATTATTAACTTAAATTACCTTAATTACATATGGATATGGATATGGGTCTATGAGGGTGACGGCACTCCAATTGGAGGCCTGGATGCGAATGCAAATGAAACAATTGATTTTTATTCAGTTTTGAATTAATTTTATGTGAAAAATGAAAGACCCAATTAACAATTGGAATAACAGTTCAGCTTAAAAGAACAAAATCATGTAACCTAGTTAAGATATAGTGCGTGCTATTCGTTCTCCTTGAGAGACCCACAATTATCAATTATTATATTTAAGTTTGTACAGCCTCTTACTTAGAGCCATCATCGTTGTACATGAGGATTTGTGATAACTATTAAGTTAAGAAACCCCAACTTGAACAAATAATGTACTCTATTTGAACTATTGTAAGTTACACATTTTTTTTTGACACAGTTTTTGTTTCGTTTTGTTGACCTCTTAATCACCTCCTCCTCATATTCAAGATTGTTCCCCACGGTACCGTTTTCACATTACTTCGGGAAGCAACCCTTATTCATTGACTTTCCATGCTGTCTATTTCTTGTAGAATATGCGTCCAGGCCCTTATTTCTGTTCTCATTTGAAAGGTCTCCATGCAGCTTTTTGGTAAGCTTAACGCATTTTATTCATTTTTCAACAGGCTCTTATTCTAAAAGGGAACAGAATGTTATTCTTATTAAGCTAAAAAACACCAGTTTGAAACAACCGATTAATGTACTCGGGTTATGCTATTATGAGTGCAAAACCTTCGACGAGTGTTACCCCTTCGGTGAGTGTGGCGCACAGCTCCTGATCATTATGTTCAAGTTTGAACAGTCTCTTATTCTTAAAGCCTGAAGCTATACATCGTGATTTATATTATATATCAAGGTAAAAAATCACGTCTTGAAAGTATAAAATGATATAATTACTAAGGGTAACGCACAGCAGCCCATCTTTATGTTAAACAGACTCTTATTCTTAGAGAGAACGGTTGTATATTACGATAATTTCTCTTACACTAACAAAGAATTCTTAGTACATGAACTAATTGCTATGTCTTTCTTACCTTTCTTTATTTTGTACTTCAAGATCTTCTATCACATATAAGAATATCTATTACTTTTACTTTGCAGTTATATGCTTACACCAGGAACCATATAATTGGCAATGATAGTCTTGACAATACGGATCTAGTGCGGTACACAAGTTCATCGGACGATGAAGATGATGTTGTTATTAGTGAGACAATTGCTGAAATCAATACTGAACCTGCAAGTACTCGTACCACAGCTGAGAGTACGAATACTGTAGAAGCAATGCAAATACTAGAAGAAGAATTTCCTAACGCTTTAATGATAGCTGAATCTATTGATATAGTAAAACTAACAAGATTAGAAACTGATTATAAATTATATAAAGAAAAGCAAGAAATTGAAGATTTATCTACCTCTGTGAAACATGATTTAAAAATGAATGAAATAGAGTTACAAGAAGAAACACTTGTTAGTGAAAATTCTATGAAACCACATATCGTTTTAAATAACGCCGATAAAAATGAACATCAGACAACTGACTTAACTATTAAAAGTAAAGAACTTCCCACAATGAATTCTGAAAAGGAAGACATAAATGTTAATTTAGAGAGTTCACGGGACACTGAATCTACAAATAGAGAACTAAGTGTCATTACCGAAACTGAATCAATCAATGATACAGACGATTCAAATTTTGAGTGTCACATTACTAGTAATACACCAACAAGTTTCAATACTGAAGATTATGCCTTTCATTTGGAATTTCTGAAACGAAGTTCATGTAGCAATAAAGTCAGGTATGAAATTAAGCATATAGATTTTAACTTTATTTGTAGAATATTTTTGAGATATGGATAAATCTATATATATACTAACTAACCTAACTTCTTTTACTTACACCTAAATAACTATAAATTTTTTTTTGGAATAGTAGATATAATTATCTTAATGGGATTGTGATCAAGGGAGGCGAAGAGAAGAACTTAGTCAAATATTAATAGAGTGCAATACTTTTATGTCAGATACATAAACTATCAATCTTAACATATCTCTACCCAATGCTGACTTTGTTTCTTATAACAATAAATTTTAAACAGATGATTATAATGTCGACACGAACAGTAGACGTCTCTCTTTACATTTCAACCGTTAATCTCTTTTAATCAAAATCTATTGCAATCGAGACAACTTTATTGAGATTAAGTATCAGCCTAGGATAATTACAATCCATACCAATCCAAGCCTTCTTCGGAACTAAGTTTGTTTCTCAACAGGTTTCTGAACATGCATTCGTCATTTAAGAAAAAAACATATGTTTCCATTACAGGTAAAACTTTTCGTACCCAAGTAAGATCAGGAAAAAGCTAGTTAATTACTTATAACATTAAACATATTCATCCTAATCAATTCTAATCACAGCTATATTTAAGTTGAAGTCCTTTATGTTCCGTACACACACCTCTTTGAACCGTGTTGATATTCTTTCTCCATTGAAAAGAATCCTTTACATTAACTCGGACTATTTTCTAATAGCACCCCACACACAACCAAAATCTTTTCCCCATATCTTTCCCTAACAAAGGGTTTTCACTAACAGAGCCTTTTATTTAATCTAAATTAAATTATAGTTAATATTTTGACAGTTGAGGTTTGAAAGTAATCTTCCATTTTGAACAACTATGGGGCTTACCTTACTTATCTCTTTAGACAACTCTAGTAAACTATCTGACTTAAAGTGTAAACACTATAAGTATTATTAAATCAACTATGCCCAGCTTTTCTACTTCTGTCACTACTTTTCTTTCTTCACATATTGTATTTAATATTAGGTGTCCATATAGATTTAAAATATTAGCATTGGAGACAATGCTTATAATCAACATTTGTATACTTATGAGTAGGCGTCAAGTTTTAGTTAAACCCTAAGAGGAGGTTTTTGAATTCTCCATCAGGGCGTATTGCTTTAAGAACTAATAACCGAAAATTACACATTTCCTACAATTTTAGAGTACATCGTAAAAGCTGGACCTTTACAAATGAACGTATGCGAGAAATAGAACGTCAAAATCATATTTTACTTAAAAAGATATTGACTCAGAAGCCAACATACACAACCAGTAACAGCAAACCCATACAACCTAAGGTAACAATTTTATTTTAACCAAATTAATTTCATTTAAATTCATATTTAATTTACACATTTTAGATAAGCAACTTACCACCTGGTATTCGAATGACAAGTTCAGCAGTTAATCGAAGAAAACAGCAACGCCAGATAGACATGGACAATCAAGTACTTTGGAGAAAATTACAAGCAATATCAGGCCGAAGACCAATGGTCTAAATTTACAAAACGCAGTAATGACGTGCAGAGCTGTAACATGTGGGGCTTATGGGACAATATTACGGGATAGGATGTGATAAAAGCAGAGGTTGGTGGTTGGATTATGAAAATGTAAGCAGGAACTTAAAACCTGAAGTTATTTGTCTGTAATATATACGCATCTTATTGATTTTAATATTAATTACAAAATAAACTCAAAGTATTGAAGACAATTCAAATTAAAAAAGTGAAAAAGATGATACATATTTTAAAGTACATATATTAATTATTAAAAACTTTTTACTTTCACATATAAAATACATAGATTAAACAATTAAGTCAATAAAAAATGTAAATACATAAAATTGGTTAGACGATATGTTAAAAATTGTAAACTAATTACGCTAGGAGGCTGAAGCCCAAAAAAATTCGTCTACAAAAAGTTTTAGTGGAATACACAAAACTGTAAAATAATTAAATAAAATTTAATTGTTTTAAGAATAACTAAATTTTAATTTCATTTTCAGTATTCAAGAATGTCTCTCCTAAGGCCTTTACCGCTTTAAATGCAGTTTCTCCATTTTTCCTTAAAAACTCTTCTTCATTGGTTTTTTTAATTTTTTCACGTCTTTCCAACTCTCGATAAATAACTTGTCCAATCTGCAAAATTTCATATATTATAAAATAATATACATATTATTAGTTAAATTAATTAACTAATTAATTATAATTAATTAAAATTAATTATAATTAATAATCGTGGCTTACATAAACGTCGATAGCTGCGTACATTAACTGATTCTCGTCCAGCGGAATTACATGCCATTTACTCATGCGTACCTTTTTACTTTTATCCATTGCCTTCTCAGCCTAAAAATAGAGGTATTTTTCAGTGAGTTTTGCTTAGAATTAATCTTATATTGTACATATGTTATGTTGCACACTGTACTTACAATATAATTTGCTAAACGCTCAAGACTCCAGCGGCCACCAGTTTCACAAACTGCATTGCACCACAATCCCAAATCTACGCATTTCGCAATTAGGATGTCAGCATTCACTTCAGGAAAATCTCGTGCCAATTTCCGAAAGTCACTAACAATTATGGTAAACTTAGATATCACAAAAAAAAAGTTAACAAAATAATTATTTTTACTTCTTTATGTTCACACCATGTAATCTAACTTTGGGATGCTTCAACAAAGCCATTAAAGCAGCTGGAAGTTTTTTAAGATTCGTCAAATGAAACACATAACAGCAATTTTCTTCAACACAGACTTGTATAACAGACGATTTCCCCGGTCCTGTTTGGAATGAAAATGGCCACTCCATATCAAAGGACAGTGGAACCACTTCTAAATGTGTTTGTTTGTCAACCCATTGCCTGCGTAAGACAAACGTAATTAGTAACTTTTGAAATGAAATTAAATTTAATATATTTACATGACAAAATCAGAAGCTTCTGCAATTTCATTTCCTTCAGTAAAGTATTTTATTTTTCCTTTATATTTAATAAATGGCAATTTTTTCTCTATTTTTTCTGGTGAAGGTGTGCCGTCTGCCATAGATTTGGTACTTCTTGTTAATCTTGCACTGCGTCTTTTTGGTGGATTTTCAACGTTTTCCTATAATAAAACAGAAAATATTGCAATTTGCACGTAAGCAGTTTAATTTGTTATCTCAATCGGCATCACCGACCGGTTACTAATCGCACTTAAGCGATTTATTTTCTTATTTGCGTTACTAATAGTTTGTTAATAATTGCAATCTTTACATCAGCAGCAGCGTTATCCAAACTTTTTGAAATCAGTCTTTTTGACATGATGCTATATTTTATGAGTTAATAGTACAGTCTTTTAACACAAACAATAAATTGTCAATAAGAAATGAAGTAAATAATTATGCACTACAAATATGCACTTCAAACATAAAATGTATACAAAAATAAACACATTCCCGCCAAAAAATAAATGGCTGTATTCACACCCAAATGTGAATTAAACTGCATATCAATAAATACACGAAATAGTTCGATATGACATACTAATTATATAAAACATACTTACATTATTCAATTTAAACATATTTTTGTGTTTTATGAATAATAATAATACAATACTAATAAAATAAATAAAATTTGGGAAATATTTAAAAAAAATGAATAAAAGTAATAAGTTGGCAACGCGAGCAGCTGTTTGAAATGTCAGCGCCGCTGTACATGTAACCAAAAACATTTGTATTCTGAAAATCACATCTTTTAGCGCTTAAAATATATTTAACAGAATATAATTTTTAATATAAAATGGATACAATAGTAAATGCACATTTTATATCTGAAAAGATATCCAAAATACGTTGGATACCAGAAACTTTAAAAGATAGTAACCGCTTTTTAACCGGCACTTGGGATATGTCCACAAATTTCTTGCGTATTTGGCGCTTTCAAGGCAATGAGTATCCAGAAAACTTCAATGATTGTGTTCCACGTTCAAGTGATAAAATACCTTTTGTAGGCGACATAACTGGTTTGGAATTTGTTACAGATGAAGTAGTAGCCACAACTTGTACTGATGGTAAAATATAAATGTTATCATAAAAGAACGAATAAATTTTAACATTTCTATGTTTGTAGGCCACTTAAGTTTGGTTAAAATAAAACGTGCTGTTGAGGAAGATGTGCTCGAAATTGATGGACGCAGTAATCTATTACATAAATTTGATTTAGCAGACCAAGCGGCACCATGTACTGGGCTCTCTATATATGCTAAAGATGCAGCAACTGTAGGTGAGGATGGTCGACTCAATATTATTGACTGTAGCACATTACGGGAACCACGTTGTGTAATTGAAGCAGATAGTTGTGCACTTACTGCTGTTGCATATATAAATCCACAAGAAGTTTTAACTGCTAACCGTATGGGTGTCATACGTATATTTGATGTGCGTACTGCAGCTAAAGCAACTGAATTTCCATCATTCATGATCTCCAGTGAAGATGACAAGCGTTCCAATTCTGTAACATGTTTAGGTTCACATCCAACGCAGCAACATGTGGTACTGGCTGGTTCAGAAGAAGGTTCTATAACCGTATGGGATTTGCGACAACCTGGCATTCCTGCATCTTACCTAAGTGCACATACAAGTGCTATTACAGAACTTGCCTTCCATCATACTGATCCAACGAAGCTTTTTACTGCTTCAGAAGATGGTGAAATGTGGTTATGGTCGCAACATATGGTAACAAGTATACCTAGTTTTATTGGTTTGCAAAAAGAAGAAACTGAAAATCCTTGGTTAAGCGGTGAACGTGCCAAAAATCGAATAAGTGTTACTGCACTGATATCAAATTTACGCAAACCCATTAATTCATTCGACTCGAACGGATCAAAAATCATATGCAGTAGTGATAGTGAAGCTATTTACCTAATTGATAATATTCTCTAAATGATTTACTGAACCAGAAACGTTAATTTCTAAAATAATATATTATATATTAAGTTATTAATAAAGTCACATAATTATTAAATTTTTAAGAAAGTTGTGAACATAAAATATTCATTTGAAGGAATGAATTCTGTCTTGATTTTACTTTTACTTTTTACTTTTATTTTTTAACATCAATTTTATAATTATTATTATTATATTTCAAAAGTATGTGATAAATAATTATTTGTTAGTTTTTAAAAATTTTCTCTATGGAAGATTATAAAACAATCTTTTTGCAGTAAGAGACTTTTGTATCTTAAAATTGTTAAAATTTTGTAAAATTCCTGTATTGACTTGCTTGCCGCACTATTGCTTGCCATCCCAATCTCAATATGATCAGCAAGACACTCCGTTCACGTTGCATTTGTGATCTGATAAATCTGTTTTTGTGATATGAATAAATCGTAACCTTTTGTAACAGTCCCAACATCAGTGAAATCAAAAACCAACGAGAGGTAATAGCTCTCCATATAGATCCAGATCGCAGTTGCACAACAACAAAGTTTTCAGTAGGTCATCGATTGATATCTCTAAAGAAGAGAGTCACCTTCCTCGTGCAGCAAGAATTATCCTAATTGAATTGAGATCAGGGTAAATATTGGTTTACTGAGCTTCAATGTATAAGATTAAATTTATTATATGGATCTTTATCAACCAAACTAGTGAGAGGTATAGTATACGCTTGATGATTCATCTGGCATACGAATCCTCACAGAAACCTAGAGACTGCAACAGTTAAAAAAGGTATAAAGCACTTAAGTCTTTGATATTATGGACTACCTTCTAAATTCAACATTAAACCAGCTTAAGGATCGTTCGTGTCAAATAATTTTAAATATATGAGGATATATATATGAGGATCTCGGTACAATGAATAGACACTTAACGGAAAACACATATCACCTCACATTTCCCAGTAAGTCACTATCAGATCGTTTCATAAAAAAGAGATGTGCTGATGAGCTCGAATAAACTATCCATAATTATAATAATAAGTGCTAATATCAAACACATTAGCTCACAGTGGAGCATTTTAGGAGGATTTGGTGATAGATCTCCCCTTTACAATGTAATACATAATATATACATAGAGATCTTAGGATTGACTCAGGGAAAAAATATATCAGAGACAGAGCTCTAAAATTATTTACTAAAGTTGATACGCTAATTAACCCCGCCCTAACAATCCTCAAGTCCACTTCTGGACTCTCAGGAAGATATGCTGATTTAAGGTCCATCATTAACTAAAAGACAAATAAATGATATGTTTTTTTTTAGCCTAGTTAAAGCCTAGTGTGGGGTAGAGATAAGCCCCCCAGCCATTATAGAGTACCATAAAAGTGAGTAATAGCACTAACTCAAGAAGAAGAAGAATCAAGAAGAAATTATTTTTTACTATATCAATCTTGATTATATTACTAAACGCCAGTTTATATATGTAGAAAAATTATTAAAATTTCTAAACATAATTAATTAAATATAGAAATATAAGTTTGAATAAATATTTTATTTATATATATACTTTTTATTTATTT